CTACCCAAGCGTTCACTTTGTGTGAACAGTTTTGCTGATAAGCAACAAAATTTAAATAATAGAACTTTAAATTTATTACACTCAGTGGCTGATTTAGATGCTAAAATCAATTTTTTCATGATCACTTAAATCATTAGTAAAAAAAAAAATAATAATAATTTAATGATACAGATACACCTAAAGTCTTGTTACTCTTGCAAGCAAAGGTATTTGCAAATATGTAAGGGGCTTACCCTTTCACAGACAGTTGACTGCCCTTGCCAGTCAGTTGGATTTCCAGGGGGGGCGCAGTGTCAGGGGAAGGTGACAGATGGCAGCTGCACAGGGCAAGGTGCTATTTCAGCCAGGTGTAGGATGCCAAGCAACACCTCCACTATTCAGAGGGACTACACTGACAGCATGTCTGAACTGTGTTATATCACAACAATCCACAAACGAGCCCAACAACAGGCCATGGTTCTCACTCTGTTTTGCAGAGCGGTAGCGTAAAGCCAAATAGAACTTGGCCTAAGACCCATGCTCTGTCACTGCACATCAACTATAGTGGCCCCTGTGTACAAGTAGCCTTTTAATACAATGCTCACTATATTCAAAATTTATGTTTGTTCAGATGTCACTATAGCCCAAAAGGTTTAGAGTTCCAGAGAAAAGACTAGTGGCAGGATGAGTGAGGCTGGACGCTGTGCTGCTAAATAATTACACTGGCCATGAAACACACTCCGGCCGCTGCTCTTGTCTGGGGTCAACAAGGAAGGGGAGTGGGCAAAGGCAAACAGGAGCTGGGTACAAACCCGGTGAGTGTTCAAAACACTAGAACTACAAGGCCAAGAAGAAGAAACCTCTTTTCCCACAAACAACCTTCACTCACTCGCTGAAGTTTATTGTTTTAAAGACCCTGGTTGTAACCAGCCCCTTGCTAACTCCACCAAACACCTGTGTTTGTCTTTGAAGCCTCTTCCCAGCATCCACAGACCCATGGGACAGTCCAGCAATGAGACGTTCAATAAAAGTCCCAGTAAAGTTATTTATTCTCCTTTGGAAAATAAAATGGGAGAAGCCAGACAGCATGGCTAACCTTTGAAGGGGGGCGCTGCTCAGATATCCAACTAGGACATAAAAACCAAGGGAATGACAGGGACATCCTACCAGAAAACAATAAAGGGGGTGGAAGGGGCTGTTTTTTATCTTTAACAGCAGCTGTAAAACACACACAAAGCTGTGGTCTACAACAATGGCCCAGGGGCAAGGGAGGGTGGCTAAAACAGAAGTGGCAGGAAGACCACTACTTCCCAGACACAAGAGTCTTCCTGCTGGAAAGAAAGGAGACTGAAAAATGGAAGGGAAAAAGAGACAGAGGACAGCATATGGAAAGGGAGGCCGGGCAGATGCAAAGGAAGAGGAGACTAAGTGAGATGGCATAAATATGACCTTTGATTACATGGGATGTTTAGAGCAGAGCTCAGCCATGGACAGGCTGTGAACCCCCCGCTGCTTTCACACAGCCACACCTCAGTCAGAGCACACTGATCAGAACAATATGGCTGAAAGATGAGCCCACAGCCATAAATGCCAGCAGTAAAGACAGCTCCACTGTGTCTCCTGCTCTGACATTATCCAACATCTGAATCTTGGCCTCACAGCCAAGCGAGGACCGTCTCCAACTCTGCATTGGAGCCAGAAGAAGATAAAATTACTATTTCAAAGTCCTTGTAAATGAACTGGCCAAATTAAATCGCATTAGAGGAGTTTACAGGTCCGTGTCGAACTGTATCAGCAAGTACAGGCAGAGAGAAGTTGCTCCAATGTCAGATTCCCAGAACACAGTGCAAGTGTAAACTATAAATCGACCACCTGACATGCATTACAAATGACTGGCTTGTAGTAGGTGAAGATGGACAGAGGCAAATGCAAACTGACAGAATCTCTACTGGCTCTAAGTAACATGGTTCAGTGGACAAGAGGGTAGAAGTGTGCATGTGGCATGCAGGGAAAAAAACAACAAAAAAACAAAGGAAATTTTTCCCCAGAAAAAAAATTCAAAATTCCAAAAGCCTGTTAGGAACAATGCCAGAGGAGAATGCTGCAACTGCCATCGCTCTTTTTTAGCAGCAATGGGTGAAGGGAGCGCTCGCAATAAATACCTCCGCAACGTCAGAGGAACCCTTTCAAGGAGCCACATCAGAAACCTGCCTTTGAATGCATTTTTACATCAACCCTGAAATATTCATGCTCTTTGTAAAGTATTCATGTGAACCAGTGTGCAAGTTAGTCCCCAGGGGTAAAGTGAAGAGAAACTGAACACACTCCGCAAACAACACGCTCAGTTGTGCTAATGTTGCCAGCCTACAGGACACTTGAAGGGACACTAATGACCTGCCCTGTCAAGATGAACAAACTGGAACCAGTTTGGTTCGACACCCTACAAGCATTTAACCAATCTTACATAGTAAGATTTGATTTAATGTTTTGGGGGAACTGGAAAAAAAATCTATA